CGACTACTGGTCTCTCGTAATCCTCAAATAAACACATGGTTTGATGATGTGACTGGAATATTACAAATGCGCAAACTGTAGTTAAACAAATAAGTCTTAAGTGTGCTGCTCTATACTACTATGGATAAATCAACAAGAAAAACGTACGCGCTAGTCCTTTTATTCTTCACTTCTTCTTTCTAGTTCCTGTTCTTTCGTGTTGTTTCTCAAGTATGTGCTTAACAGTACATATATCTGTAATCCACAGAACATTTGTTATATAGGAAATAGAGCTATTGAATATATAAAATATACTTAAAAATATCAGTAAATAACTTATTTTATAAAGTTGGTCCTATTTTTGTGTATAGATAAAGCTCGGTTTCAGGAAACACAGCTTCGGAATCATAACTTGGAAATATCTTTTTAAATAATGCCTGCAGACAGAACAGACAGCCTCCTTCTGTTTTTGATGTGTTAGTGCCTTTGGAAGAGTCTAATGATTCCAGAGTCATGCAGTTCCTTCCAAGTCTTTATCTCCAGGCCATAGTCATGGTTAATAAAGAAAATTACACTGGTTTTTTTTAACTTTTCATAATAATAGTTGGAGTACTTATGGTGGTCTTCTGTAATAAATCCATAGACATCCACCTGATGTTGAGAATAAAACATTTTCAAGTAGTTTTCAAAAACTAATATATGCACAATACAAATAGGATAACAGAAAACAGAGTACTTCCAGTGTTAAACAGCTACAAACCAATTTAAGAACAAGCTGAATGAATAGAAAATAAATAATGCCTTTACTTACAATGTCACATGTGTGAATAGCCAAGAACAAAGCAAACGCTCCATTGGTCGGTCTGTACATTGCCCAGTAATTGCCCTGCATTTGTTTGGATGGCATGAATCTGTTTTTTTATATATATAAAATAAGGGTTATTCAAAAGAGATAGATCATGCTTAGACTCTTGTATGACTAGACAAACTGGTCACTGTAACATAAATGTTACCTGTTGCGAATGTATCGAAGAAAATCAGGGTGAAGAACATAGAATCTACTCTCGTTAAAATTCCCATTGAAATATTTCAGTGGCCTGTGGAAGAATAAATGCAAATGTTGTTTTTTAAAACAAATCAATAACATGATACATTTTCACCCCTTATCATGTTGAGCTGGAGCCAAGCATTGTAAACACCACCTCACTTGGAATATCCACTGTAACTTTTTCTTCCACGGCTTAGGAGTAAAGTTTGACACTATAATATTCTTAAAGGGGTCATATGATGCAATTAAAATTTTCCCTTTCTCTTTGAAGTGTTACAAGCTCTTGGTGCATA